TAGATATAATGGAAGAGAAAGTAGGTGGAAGTCTTGAAGACATAAGGGTACGAAGAGGGTTCATGAACAAAAACCAAGCTGCATGGGAAATACTTCAAAGAATCAACAACTGGGATCTCATCTTATTGAAAAGTGTTTCCACGTCAAAAGAAATCCCAAACTGGGTGGAAAGAAAACCCACCAATTGGGAAAAAATTTTAGCCAACTGTCCCTTAGACAAAGGACTTCTGTCTAGAACATATAAAAAATTTTTAAAAATCAGTCCCCCAAGTTCAAAGACCCAATCTAAAAATGGGTATCTGAGATGAATACACTTCTCACATGAAGAAATACAAATGGCAAATAAATACCTGAAAAAATGTTCTACATCATTAGTCATTCCACAAATGCAAATTGAAACAATACTGAGATTCCATCTCACCCCAGAAAGAATGCTATCATCAAGAAATTAACCAATAACAAATGCTGGAGGAGCTGTGGGGAAAAAGGAACTCTTCTCCACCCTTGATGGGAGTGTAAACTGGTGTAGCCATAGTGGAAATCTAGGAAAACTAGGACTAGAGGTCCCATTCAACCCAGCTATTCCTCTTCTGGGTATTTTTCCAGAACTGAAAACATCATATCACAGTGATATATGTATACCAGCTCAATTTATAATAGCTAAATTTGGAAACAACCCAAATGTCCATTAACTGAGGATTGGATAAAAAAGATGTGGTATTTTTATACAATGGAGTATTACTCCGCCATAAAGAAAGATAAACTAGAGGCTTTTATAGGTAAATGGATGCAACTAGAGACCATACTCATTAGTGAAATAAATCAGATTCACAAGTGTAAACATTGTATTTCCTCCCTACTATAAGAACCTGAAAGAGTAAATAAAATCTGAAAGGTACAATAGATATAGTGAAAGGGAAAAGAAACTCCTCAAATAGGAAGGAAAAACTGGGTTGAAGGAGGGGAGAGGAAAAAGAAAGAAGGATGAGGGGAAAATATGTGTATATATGCACAGGATAGCTAGGATAATTGTACTGCTGGTGTCTGTTGGTTTATTGAAAGGAACTGTTAATGTGTAATTGTCAGTGTTGTATGCCTATATCTCATTATATGTGCAACCATTTTGAAGATGACATTGTGTAGTATAACAACCATTGTTGATATCCTATCACCAGGTTTTGAAATTCTGCATCATTTTTATTGCTCTCTATGCTGTTTTGTTTATATATTTGTTTTTGTTATTTTGGTTTTTTAATGAAAAACAAAATTTATATGTATACATAAGGATTGCTGAAATCGGCATATTGCTGATGTCTGTGGTTTATTGAGAGGAACAGTCAATGCTTAAAATTTTTTTTCTTGACCAATTTTGCATGCTTGAATTTGGTAATCAGAATGATGGATCTGAAAACAATATGCAGTATAAGAACTATTGTTGAACTCCTATCATCTTGTACAGTGAGGCTCTGCATCATTTCCAATGTTTTTATTTATTATTATTTTTATTATTTATTATTATTATTTACTTGTTACTGTCTTTGCTTGTTTGATCAATCTTACATTCTTATGTCTAGTGGACTGAGCAGCTTTGTTGAAGATAACAGTATGTAATGTAGCAACCACTGTAAATTCCTATCATTTTGTTCTGAGGTCATGTATCATTTTTGTTGTTTTTGTGTTGTTTTGATTTTGTCTTCATTGTGGTTTTGTCAGTTTTTTAAATTTTAGAATAAAAAAGAAGAAGGGTTGAAGCAGTGGATGGGAAAAATCAAGATACATTATGTACAGGTACAAATAAATGCAAACCTCTATAATTAATGTGATCATTATATATATATATCAAAAGTGCACCAATAAAGTTTTTAAAAAGAAACAAAATAAAATGGGCTTACTGGGGTAATGGGTGAAGAAGGAAGAAGAAGAGGAATGAGGAGATGATAATCAAAAGTACATAGCTTCGAATAGGAAGCAGGAATAAATTTGGGAGATCTATTCTACACCATGGTAACTATACATAATGTATTGTGTATTTGATAAATTACTAAAAGGGTAAATTTTAAATGTCACCACACACACAGAGAAAAATGTAAGGTAAATTACAAATACTTTTATCTGATTTCATCAGTTCATAGTGTATAAATATAAGAAAACATCATACTGCATCACATAAATGGCAATTATTGCCAACTAAAAATAATTTAGACCAGGGTATACCTCAGCAGCATAACACCTGCCTGGCAAGCACAAGGTCCTGAGTTTGATTCCCAGTTCCAAAAATATAAATAAAAAATTAAAGAATAATTTAAAATTTCCCAGTGTGGTGGGACATGTGTATAATCCCAGCACTCAGGAGGCTAAGACAGGAGGATCACCATGAGCTTGAGGTCAACCTAGGTTGTATAGTAAGTTCAAGGCTAGTCTGAACTACATAGCGAAGGCCTGCCCAAAGAACCAAAAAGTGATCATCATGATAATAATAATAACTTAAAATTTATCATTTTAACAGATAACATTCTTAAACTTTCATGTTAAAGTAAAACTCTTTTTATGAGAAAGTGGACTTTTCAAAAGTCTGCTGTCACTTAACTTCTACTAACTTAGTTGACTCACACCATAAATTACAACCTAACTCTCTTAAGCACTCCATGATAACTGAGAAAGACAAGGTTATGTCACAGCAGCTTTTAATCCACAGTAAACATAATCTCAGTGGCTTGATTCAATAGGGATACTAAGTCCACAGTCATTTAGGAGACTTGGTTTGAGTTTCTAACACCCTATACACCATCACAATGATGGCTCCCACATCTGTGGTAGGAGAAGACAGAGCAGACAGATCCTCCAGCCACTGGCCAACATAGTCATACACTTTCCTCCAAGTTATATGCCTACTGAGACTCAGTTCTTCTTCTTAGCAAGCTTGTTCATAAGAGGTGTACTTGTTATTTTAATTAGCAATTAATGACTATATACCCAGTGGAGTCTGGGGGTAAAAAAATCACCTGTTTTACAAAATTGCCATTGAATGAAAGAGAAGAAGACCTGGACCCTCATATAAGAAAGAATCTTTCAGAACCAGGGATGTAGCTCAGTGGCACAAGCTACCTGGCAAGTGCAAGGTCCTGAGTTCAATTCCCGGTACCAGAAGGAAAGAGACAAAGTGAGAAAATGAGAAAGAAAGACCCTTTCAATATGTGCTTGGTGTGACAATGTTGAACTGTAAGAATATCCTAGAATATTCACTACTACTCTGTGCACCTTATGTTTCAACTTAAAAGAAAAAAAAAAAAAAAACTCAATGTTTCCCTAAATTCTGAGTGTGTCTCAATTCTCAGCTCTGCTTCCTTCCTTTGTAAGGTCAAAACAAATGGCTAACTTTAAGACATTGAGGATTCATAGGACAATAAAGCATAAATCTTTCTCATATCCTCAGAGTAACACACCTTTCATCATTCTGATGATCATTCTGGGAAGATGACAAAACTGACAGGACTTAGCATTTTTCCCTGAACATACTTGACCATGGCTGTGGGAAGTAGAATCCTAAGTGTCAGTGTCTATCTATACCCTCCATGGTGTCACTGGCTCATGACCCATGTTACAGCCTAGAGTAGAAGAGATGAAGTTCCTAAGGAAGCCTAGGTCTCCATTCTGACCTCAACCAGGAGAAGATATCTCCTAACAAAGACCAGCTCTGAGTTGATGGGTGAGAAAGAAGATAGGATGGAATAACTGTTCCTCAGGAATAGGGTATTTTCATAGCTCAAAGTAAAGTTTCCAGGCATCTGTCTTAATGATGAACCCAGAGTGAGACAGAAACTAGCTTTAAGGGCTGGGACATCACAGGCCAGGTGGACTGTCACCATGAACCAGCTGGTCACAATGTCCACAGATGAGAAAAGCTGTCCTGTAGGAACTCCAAATCAGCAGTAGCATCAGGTGACTGCGAGGAGAAAAAGAACGGGATGGTTGTGAGTCAGCACCCACAGTGAGAGACCCTGAAATCTGAGAGAGCTCTGCACTTGTCCTGTGAGGTCCACAGGAAACAGACTGCCCTTTATGTCACTCCACTGTGAAAGGTTCTGCAGGCTAAGCCACTCCATGTGACTGATGCAGACATATCCACACTAAGTCATTTCTCGTATCACAAGGATCTGGAAGTTCCAATCCCCATTCCTAATAAGAGGGATGGACATAATGCTGGTTGTCTGCACCCCTTGTGCAAAATGACATTTTTGAGAATTTCACATCACACAGGTTTGCTCAATAGTTTTTCCTAAAATCACTAAAACTTTGTTAAACAGCCTAGAAATGTACAATAGAGACACACACAGAAACAAGGCGTGAGATGAGAAGAGAGATGTAAAAAGAAACACAGAAAAAGAGATGCAGACAGTGTCATTCAGGTAGGTAAAAATGGAGAGGAGGTGACACAGTGAAGCAGAAAGAAAGTAAGGGGAGGAGATGGGGGAGGGAAAATGGGAAAGGAAAGCATAAGATGGGACAGGGAGGGGAAGGAGAGGAGCAGAAGGGAGGAAAGGAAAACCAACTTGACTCTTTGCTTCCTTAGAACATGAATAAAATATTTCTGAGCTGGGTTTCTATCATTTGGAACCACAAATAACGTATTGCTGACTAAAGTCACTCAAAAATAAAAGTTATCCTTTGCACTGTGACTTGTCTGGATATATTTGACACATCAGATGTCATTCTATCTGTCCCCAGACAATTCCACCACACTTACTTACGCCATACTCAGTAGCCTGCAAGACAGGCTGGGATGATGTGCAGCCATTTTCTGAAAAGAATAGCGAAGGACCATGGAGGACACACCTGTCGATGTCTGAACTCCTCAGCCCTCACTTTCATGGTGCCCATGATGCTTCTAGACTCCTTTCCAGAAAAAACCCACCTTCTGGGCACAGATTGCTTGGGTTACCTCAAACACATTCCTTTCATTCTGCATTTTCCTCCCTTCATTCAGCTAAAGAGATGTGGGATACAGATCACTCAGAATCATGTTTAATTATCTGAAAAACTCCACACCCAGGTAAATGGTTTCAATGCATCTCTTGAGCAGTATGCTGAGGGGACATAAAAAGGGCAAGCCCTTCAGGTCTGAGTAAATGCTGCTGTTGCACACAGGCAAAGACTCCGGAGTGAGTCCAGGGAGTAGGGCTGAGGTCCCTGGGGTAAGGGTTACAGGAGGTGAGCTGCAGCTGCATGGTAGCCACTATAGGACTCTGATCACATAAGAAGACGAAGGCTGAGTCAAGGGGGGAAGTCTGGGCTGTGACAGGCAGGCCATGCAGAAGAGTGACAGCCAATTCCACTCAGAACATGTTCAGGAGTCACTGCAGGAGCCCTGCGGGAGACATGAGGGGGCAATTAACACAGATGACAGTGAGGGATACCTACTCTCCTCCTAGATCCCCTACTGCTTAACTCAGAGCTGAGATCCAGGGCGCATCACCACCACTCCCCCAATATCTGCATAAAGGTGAAATCAGTGTAAAAGGACACAGACCTTCAGCTGGACAGAGGTGTAAGAATGGACAGCAGCCACCATCTTCCAGGGAAATCAGTAGGGGTCAGTTTTTACTAAGATGAATGGTGTCTCACCTTCCTGCCACCCCAGTAACCTCTAGTCACTGGTCAATGGCAGTTGCCACCAATACGCGGTATAAAACAGGTGTCACCTTGATGACTGACATCCAAGACAGCTCAAGTTCCAAGATTCACAGCAAAATGCCACAGGTTCTAGGGCATAACCTCTGGAGCTTCCTACATGCTGGCTGGCTACCTTCTCCCTTCACCTGTTTTTCTCCTGCACTAGGGGTTGATCCCAGGGCTTTCACACTGGACTATCCCCAGCCCTTATTTTGTATTCTGAGACAGGATCTCGCTAAACTGCATAGGCTGGGCTCAAACTTATACTCCTCCTGACTCAGCTCCCCTATGTGCTGGCATTTCAGGGGTGCAAAACCACACCCAGCCTCCATTCACTCTTAGTCCCTGCAGCAAGAAACAGGCAAGGAGCTGAGACTATCATGCCAGGTACAACCACCTCATGCCCTCTGCTCTCACATCTGTATCCATGCCCCTGCCCCAGTGCATCAGGACTGAAATATTACCTGCTGGTGGAGGCCCACGAGTTCCTACAGAAGGAAATTAAACACAGAAAGATCTCGTTACACAGACAGCCACTGTCTCACACACCCCACAAGACGATGAGATATGCAACTTAAACACAGATGTGTGTTCTCTCCCAACCCATGTTCTACAAGGGCCCAAGCACCCTAAGCTAAAATCCCCCAATACCAGTGAAACTGTCTCTAGAAGAAAGAGAAACCAAGGCTCTGAATCTTTAATGGTGGAAGCTTTTGGAAAGGAGCTAATGCTGAGCAGAAAGGAAGTCCTAGAATGAGCTCCACAGCAGCTCTGAAGCAGGGCCCCTTCCAGTCAGTAAAATCAGATGCTAGTATCTTGCCCAAAGTTGTCATCTCCCGTCTCTAGCCAAGCCTTCTTTCTTGGGGATCAGAAGGAAAGAGACCTCTGGAGGCAAAGCCTTCCTGACCAGGGTCTCTGGCTCAGCCCATTTTTCCATTTCCACTAGAACCACTCACCTTTCTGACTCCTGTAATGGATGAAGAAGCCCAGCCCTAGGAAGATCAGCCCCAGCACGAAGCCCCCGACGCCACTCAGCATCTTGCTCTGCGCAGACTCAGACTGTGCCCCTGGGAAGCAAGCCTGAGTGTCAGCTTTGTCCCCAGACCTCACAAGTCCCTGGTGAGGACCTGAAGTCCAGTCTGAGTTACAAGAGGTGAAGGTGCCAGGGGAATCTAGTTCTCTATTCTGGCCATATCTAGAAGAGGGAAGGGCCAGCCAGCAGATGCCTTCTCCACAGGGATACATCCATAACCTTAGACCCTAAGACTCAAATCATCAGCCATAGTAGTCTATCCTTTAGCAATATCAGGCCTGTTTGCCAGATCCACAGTGTATACAGCCATCTCCCTTGCATCTAGAAAGACAGTTAGGTCAAGATTCTCCTCAGGCATTTGCAAGAGGGGTCTCAATTCAGTAGTGACACTCAAGACAAGAGATGGACTAGGACTGGCTACAGAGAGCTCAGCCCTCTGTCTCATGGGACCCACAACAAAACAGCACAAGGTGTCCCTTACACCACTCCACTGAGATGGGGCTCTGGAGGCTGGGGTGCTCCACGTGGCAGGTGTAGACGTCTCCACGCTGGGGGGTCATCTCCAGCATGACTAGGATCTGGAAGGTCCAGTCCCCGTTCCTAATGAGGGGGGTGGACACGACGCCAGCTGTCTCCTCCTGGCCATTCCGGAACCACTGGACTTTGACCTGGCCTGGATAGAAATTTGACACGGAGCAGACCAGCAGGTTGTGGTGGTTCAGGGCCTCCGTCTTGGATGGGGAGATGGTCACCGTGGGCTCCACTGTGGGCAACAGACAGCAAAGACAGAGTGAGTGAGATGTGAGGCCCCCAGCACTTCTCCCATGGGGAAGGGTCACTCCTGGGAACCAGAGTGAAAACCCTAGGTTCCATGTGTTGGATTAAGATTTATTGGACAAATACAAATTTAATAACCACTGTGGATATAAACAACAGTCCATGATCCCTGCTTTAGATAAAACTTGCAATCTAGTAACAGAGTCAAACAACATGAATGAATGAATGAATGAATGCGTGAATGAATGAATGAATAAAATGTTTAGTTTTTGAAGGAAAAGTAGAGGAACCTTGAAAATAAATAACACTGATGAAACATCATGTTCACCAGTGCCTCAGTTGCTTTGTCTACTCAGACTGTGACTCACTGTCAAACACGACAGGCCTTTCCCTACCTCCCTTAATCTCTTATCCTTACATCTCAAGGCATTTTACTGCATTCTCTTTATGTCTGTAGTGTGAAACTAGTAAATATTCAGTGTTTTATTATTTGAGAGTTATGTTCTCTCATTTTCACCTAATTTTAACAGTCAAGAGAATTTGATTGTTGGTTGCCTACTCTACCCGACCTTGTTGCTATGAAATTACTTCTTTGTTCTGAAATCAGACATAATCACGTATTTTTCTATAGAAAACATTCTGAGACTCTTGCAGAGGTTGGCCAAGGTTAAGGAGAACGTACTGTGAACGTGTAGGTATAACTAGAGTTGCTGAGGCTGGCGGGAGAGCTCAGCCCTGATTAAATGGCACTTGTGAGCCATCACCTCGAAGGAATCGTGTTTTTAATTTAATATGTAGTCCTTGTTCAGCCTGTCCTGAATATCATATCCACTGATCTGGACTTATGGAATCTTTGCATTAAACAGATTAAGAGTAAAAACAGAGAGCACCCATTCATGAGAAAAGTATTAGAATATTTTTATGAAATGAAACTGAAATAGCAAAAATGTAATTGTCTGGTGACAGAATGTGGGATGGAAAAAAGCAAGGTTTAAATTAAATTGTTGTGTTACTCTGCTTAAATTGGGGCAGACTGATTAAAAAGTGAATTCTCAGTCCATTAAAAATATCATTTTGTCCACCTACATGGAAAACAAGGCAGGAGTGGACTCACAGTGCAACTTCTGGTCATAACTAGCTTTGGTGAGGCTTTGTTCCTGTTTGATTTTACGTCCATGTTTAAAAAGGAAATAATGACTGTGGTGTATTTTGGGGAAGCTTCAGGACTTGTGAGTAACTGTGGGATGACTACCTAATGTTTTATTATATATCACCACTAGTGTATTATAGTATGATGCTAATCCTTAATGTGCAAGAGATCAAATGCAACAACAGATGGTGTCTGGCTGGGTTAGTGTCTAGAAATAAGTACTCACTAAATGAGTAAACTTAATTTCCCAAATGCTTATTCCTACAGTAAATGGTGATACTGGGTGACAGAGTCGAGGTGGGGGCTCCAGGCCAAGAGCAACCTGAAGTAATTTTTTAATTCAGTGAGCAGATTATTCCAGAGCTGCAGCTCATCCCACTTCTTTATGTGTTGAAATTTTCTGTAAGAAATAAAACTTCTACCTTGTAACATCATTCAGGTGTTGTTTTTGGTCTTAGCAAACTATTTCCCCTTACACTTTGCATTCACAAATTCTAAATAATGGAAACTCCAAGTCAGTAACAGTTTACTTCAAAGCATTAAGCAGAATAACAAAGAATAGCACGGTTAAAGGATATTTTACTTTTCTGCTTTCCCCTGATCCTAGGTGGGTAGCTGAGTGCGCACTGCATTAATTTTAAGGAGCTTTGCTGAGCTCATACTACGGCCCGGAGGAGGGGCAGATGGGCCACCGGCAGAGGGCAGCAGAGAGGACCGAGGAGGACGTGCCAGCGGGAAGGGAGCGAGGGCCGCAGGGCCGCGGACCGCAGTCCTCCCTCGCCCCCACCTCCCCTCCGTGGCCGGTCCTTGAGGCCCGGGCCGCGCTCCTGGGTGGGGTCTCCACGGAGGGGCCTCACCTCGCCAGCGCCGGTTCAGCAGGGGACTGCCCAGCTCGTAGTTGTGTCTGCACACGGTGTCCGTCTCGGCGCGCGTCTGCTCCAGGATCTCCTTCTGGCCGTTCCAGTAGTCGGCGTCCGGCCGCCCCAGCTCGGTCACCGCGCGGTACTCGCCCACGTCGCTGTCGAAGCGCACGTACTCCTCCTGGTTGTAGACGTATCTGGTCACCAGCCGCACGCGCGCCGTCCCGTTGGTGTAGTAGCACTGGCCCTTAAACTGGAACACGAAGTCCTCTGCGGGAAGCACAGGGCGGACTCAGCCCTCCGCCCCGCCCCACCCCACTACCCCGACAGGGCTTCGGACCGGAGCTGTCCCCGCGCGGGGCGGTGACGGACACCGCGGCCCCCGCACCCGCGCCTGCGTCCCGTCTCTGACCGAGCTCACGGCTCTCCCGCGCCAGTCCCGCTTCCACCGAGCCGGAAACCTCGGGGCAGCTCGCGAGCTTGAGAGTTCAGGGCATGCGCAGAAGCGCCTACAACTAAACTGGTGCTGGTCCCATAAGCACAGTCTCTTGGTCCTTGAGCAAAACGCTGGGCTCACTCTGTCCCTGCCACCCCACCCAGCCAGGTGAGGTTCACTTACTCCTCAGAGTGCCCTAAACTTCTAACCCCAGAAAACAGCATTTATTCATGGCAAGAGCACAGAGTTTCAAATTACATAGACTAGATTCCAACTGAACTGTGAGAGACAGGGTGTGGTAGCTCAGGCCTCTACTACCAGCACTCAGAAGGCTGAGGCAGGAGGATCTCTGTGAGTTCAACATCAGCCTGGGCTACCAAGCGAGTTCAAGGCCAGCCCGAACTACATAGTGAAACCCTGTCTGAAAAAGACAAAAAAAAAAAACCTGTGAGAGTTGGCTGCTAGGACAGTTTCCTTAACAGGATATCGATATCCTAAGTATAAATGCATGAAAGAAAGAAGAAAGTCAGAATACCTACACAGGGTTGAGAGGAAGACTGGTGGAGAATAGATCTAAGCCACGATCCCGTGTCTGAAATGAGTACTTTCTCAGCGTGTTTCATATTCCTCTTCCCTGCCTCCTTCTTCTGCATTCAGACTACATCAGCTCTGGCCCCAAATCCCTCCCCAGTTACTGTTAGACCACGAGTCAGCAGAGCATACAGTTATGCTGGCTTCACTTCACGTCGGCTTCACTCAGATACCCGGAGGTGGCCCCCCTGGAACCTGCACTCGGCAAGACTGAGCCTTTGTCCTCGAACACTGAGTCTACGGAGACCATCGCTGGTCCCCTCGCCATCCAGAACCTCACAGCGTTTCTCCCGACAAGACCGTAGGGGACCCTGACAGATACAAGGCGTGCGGTATCTGCTTTGGAGAAATTTATTTTCTCCAAAAACACCCCCTGGCCCCCTGTGCCCACGGTTGGTAGTAACACAAGCTTCCTGTCCCCCTTCTGTTTATAACACCCGCCCTGGGCCGGGACGCACGCGTGGCCCTCGCTCAACATCAGCAGATGGAACAAGAGCGTAACAGACCCTCCCCCAGAGAGGCAGCCTGTGAGAAGCGCTGCGTCCTGAGATCACGGGGCTCCACGCGCTCGCCCAGAGCCCCGGGCCCCTCGGAGCCCCCGCCCAGGTGACGGCTGCGGCTCAGGGAGCCCTCGCCCCGCACTCACGCGGAGAGTCTCTGCCCTCGGCCAGGGGGCCGCTCAGCACCATCAGCACCACCGCCACCGCGGCGGGAACGAGGCCCCTCGGGGTCCGCAGAGCCGTCTTCACAGACATCACGGAGGAGGAAGGAGAAGGCAGTGGCAGTCGGCACAGCTCACCCCTGCTGTACCCCCTGCAGGGAAGAAAAACCTGAGACTGCCTTCTAGGGTGTTAGGGTCGGGGAGTCCCTAGGAAAGGAGCCAATCAGCACCGGAGCTGAAGCGCATCATCTGTCTCCAGGCAGACATTTTTTGTGAAGGCTCCTAGTCCACTGCCTGTGCCTGCCTGAAACTGCGCTGGATGAAGCTCTGAGGTGAAGGTTCCCTCTCATTTATAGAAGGCCTGTCTCCGTGAGAAGACCGAATGCCTTAGCGGGTACAAGAGCTTAAAGAGGAAAGCAATTCCAGTATGACAACTTTATGATATTTATAAAAGCTATCTTTTCTTAAAGTTAGAGTTCTTAACAGAAAAAAAAATGGACATCATGTTTCAGAGGACAGAAAATTATTGTCCCATAGATGTTTATTTATATTATGGGAGGTCCTCTGAGGAGCCCTACGTCCCGGTGAGAAAGACAGGGTTCTCCCAGGGAAGCGGTGTGCGCTGCAGCTCTAAGCCGATGTGCTTCCTGGGCCAACAAGTTGCTCAGCCTCTTTTTACTTCCAGCTGAGCTTCTCTGTGTACAATATGGGTGATGCTTCGTGTGTTTCACACTAGATCTTCACGTGTACACATCTGAGAGTAATGTGACATGATTACATTGTATAATGTCCCTTAACTGTCCCGTGTAATTCTTGGAAACATCAGGTTACTATGTGGGATAGAAGACAAAGCATTGGCATGCAGCCCTACTAGCAAGCGATCACTCCTTAAGCAGAAATCTATTGCTTCATGTTATTTCAATGAAACTGTGTGAAAAATTAATTAAGCTGACATTGCTCTTTGTCCTCAGCTATTTAAATCCTCCACGATGTTCTATAAACGCCCACAGCTTTCAAAGTCACCTTTCAAGGACAGAAAACGGAAGATGTAGAGAAGCCTTCTCCCAGGTCTGTAGTGTTACTGAGGGAGCTAGGATTTATTTGGAGATGGTACTGTGCCAGCCCTGAACATGACATCTTGAATGTGTACTAAACAGTGTGTCCTTAAAACAAATGTCTTCTTCACCAGCCTCCTCTTACCCATTTCTAATTTCAAATCAGTTAGAGCAGTGCCTGACAATCATTAATGACAGCTCTCATCTAGACCATATCAACCCCTCCTTCCCTCTCTCAGCTTCTGTTTCCCTTATTTTAGATTCTCCTTTTAAAACAGAACAGAATCTAAAAACAGAATACCCTGCCGCATTCCTCACTCAGAGGAGTTTAACAGCCAAAAGTAAGGAAGAGGCCACAAGAAGACGTTTCCGCTAGCGGCACATGAAAGGACAGGATTCTGAGAATAACCTGTGTCCGTGATAGGCAGGGAGCGCCTGACGCTGGGAGGCTGCCGCTGGGCTCCCACCCGCAGCGCTGTGCTCAGCGTCAGGAGAGCTCAGCACAGGGAGGGTGCCCATAGGAGCGGTGGCCGCGGAAGGACAGGACGTCAAACTCAGACCTGGACAAGGTGGCCAGAAAGGGACCTGGAAGTGCCCTCCATGTCCTTAGCCGCCACCTCAGACTGTCTCCCACCCAGGATAAGCAGCGGGCTCCGTCCCCCAAGCAAAAAGCTCCCTCTGGTTATCCTGGGCTGTGACGCAAAGGCTGCCTCACAGGGGGATTTCCCAGTCTCACTGGCCTAGTCACGCCCACTCTTCAGCTAGCAACAAAAGCGTCAGCTCACAACCCTTTTTCTGATTGGCTGGAACCTCTTTAGAAAGGCGGTGCTTTGGGTTTCTGCCAGCCTCCGCCCCAGCCCAGCCCTCTAGAGTTCTCTGCACTGCCCAACCCCTGCCGCATTCCTCACCCAGTGCAGCCGCCAGGGCCTGGGCTGAGAGGAAGATGATTTGGACAAACACTTCTCCCCCTGTAATTCACATAAACTGCCCTGCAGGGTCAGGGTAAGGGCGGTGTGGACCTCAAAAAGTTGATGGAGCCAGGGAGACAGTTCAGCAGCACAGCGCCTGCCTAGCAAGTACAAGGTACGAAGCCTGATTACTGGTACCAAAAAGGCGGCGGCGGCGGGGGGTAGATGGGATAAAGACACTGCCATTAATATGGATCAAGGATACAGGGTTATCCTTGATTCCTTCAGAGGAAAAAATAAAGGTTGTGCACTTCTTGCAGGAAACTCAAGAAGAAATCATCTCTGGTCAGCTCCACTGGAATCTGTATTTAGTCAGTTGATCATCATTTTCTCACCAGAGGGTCATCCAGGACTATTCTGTGGTCAGCAATCAAGAAATGCATCTCTTGAAGGATTCCGTGTGCTCCTTAATGCCAGTGGTAATAGGATACAAATGCCGACCCTTTTATTATTTTCCTTATTAAAATGTATCAAACTATTACCCCATATTTTCTAAATCTTATTAAATCTCTTTACATATTTCCCTTATGTCAATTCTGAGAGCGTTACATTATTTTTTCTTTTTCTTTTTTTTTGGTTTTTCTCCGGTACCGGGAACCAAACTCACGACCTTGCGCTTGTCAGGCAGGCGCTTTTGCCGCTGAGCTAAATCCCCAGCTCCTACATTATTTTTTCATTGCACGTATAAAGACATGTTTTTACACCAAGTTTTCTCTTTATGGTCACATTTTAGAGAAAATAAAGACAAATACCTGAGGTAAACAAAGGGAAGAAATAGTAGTAGTCAAAATAATAGAGTGACTGTTTAAAAGCCACTTCAGCCGGGCGTGGTGGCACATGCCTGTAATCCCAGCACTCGAGAGGCTGAGGCAGGAGGATTGTTGCAAGTTTGAGGCCAGCCTGGGTTACATAGGTGAGGTCAAGGCCAGCCTGAACTGCATAGGAGACCCTGTCTCAAAAAGACAAAAAAAAAAAAAAAAAAATCTAAAAGCCACTTCAATTCTGGAAGATTTCACTGTCTGTAGTAAGAGAGCACATCTCACAGGACCACCTTCATGAATGAAGATATAATTTATAAAAGTCCCTGCAATCTAATCTACAAGGAGCTCTATACACATTAATTTCCAATATGGTAATTATTAATTCATCTTTTTAACATGACTACAAAGCAAAAATTCTTCCTGGTATTTTTCACCTTGATTCAGTGATGGCCAACTTTTTAGAGACCAAGTGCCCAAACTGCCACGCAAAACCCACGTTTTTTTAAATTTTTATTTTAAAGAAAATAGTACAGAAAAAGCACAATAGCAAAATACAAACCCACTTATATATTGCAAAGTGCTAGCACTCAATTCGAAATGAATACTGAGGTTTTAGCTTAGAAAAAAAACTCATACATTAACATCTTCTATCTAAAAAGAAAAACAAGGGCTGGGGATTTAGCTCAGTGGCACAGAGCCTGCCTGGCAAGCGCAAGGTCATGAGTTCAATTCCTGGTACTGGAAAAAAAAAAGAAAAACGAGCATTGCCACCACTAGACTTTAGAAAATGGAATAACAATGGTCTTGAATCCCTACCTTTTACTTCCTCCTTATGGAGGGAAAGTGAGGTGGGCAAGTGTATGAGATGTGTCTGATCATCAGTCCACTTTATTTTCCCTCTCTGAACCGCCACCTCCATTGCCTGGTCAGAACTACCATTTCAACTATCATTTCTGATCTTGGAAGCTGGTCCTACTGGCTGAGGGCTTCCAGATACGGAAATCTGAGTGTAATAGGAACTGATGAAAGAGGAAGAAAGTGAATAAAGCTGTGTAGGCTACGTGGGCTGTAATGGCAGAGTCCAGAATCATGTTTCATCCTCCTTGGTTTGATCTGGAGAAAGAGAGACCACCTGCTCCTCATTGCAGCTGCTGCCATTTGTCTAACAGCCCTGCTCCAAACCACACACCCAAGTGCCCTGCGTTCCTCTCCAGCAGGATCCAGGTCCCTTGGTGTCTAAGCTCTGGATATGTTTTTGTTGCTAGTAATTCTATCTCACTTCCCAAAGACCCAACAGATCCCAGATGGTGAATTCTGGCACTTAATAATGTTTTTGTAGCTATGGTCCTGGACTTCAGAACTGAAAATACAACCCATACTTCTTACCTGCAAGAAGTACACACATTGGAGAGGACAAAGACATGGGTAAAAAATAAGCAACAAAAGTGTGCAATTATCACTAAAAGGGTGGTCAGACATTGCTCACCAAAGACAAAACTAAAGCGTGTCGGAGGGAAAATCATCACATACAATGAGACCCAGGCATTGGGCACACACCTTTATCCCAACACTAGAAAGGCTGAAGGCGGTGTGCAAAAAGTTAGAGCAACTTAGCAATTTATCGAGACAAAAAAAAAAAAAAAGCAATGAAAAGAGCCTGGGAATGTAGCTCAGTGCAAAGGCCCTGAGTTCTACCATATACAATAGTAGTCACCCCTGAAACATTGATTTTTCTCTTAGAAAGCATGAACAACAGGACTGGAAGATGATCATACTGATTTGTTGGATTAATTCATAAATGACTCGTCAAGACAAGAAGGATGATTTGACTGTATAGAAGTGATGACCGGATTTAAAGGAATTGTGATAATTCCCTGGTTTTGATATTGCCTTATAGTCAGGTAAGGTGTAACTGCTTAGGAAAAGTAGATGGCTGGTGTACAGAATCTTTTTGTATTATTGTTTCCATTCCTTGTTAATCTATAATTGTCTCAAAATACAGAATTCAAAACAGAAAACTAATGCAAATAGTTTCTTTTTTGAGTTAATTAAGTATTATGCATAACAGAAAGTTTCCAAAATGGAGCAGAGCAGCCGTGGATGGTGGAATCCATGTGAATGGCACTGTGCGGCTGTTTGAAACCATCTTATGTCATCTTTATTTTTAAAAATATTTCATTACTTCTTTTTCCCTCATTGTATCTTATGCTGAGTAATTTTATAGACCTATTTAAAATGATTCTTCCCTTAGCTATGGCAAGTTTGCTAATGAGTTTGTCAAATACATTCCTCACTTCTGTTAGTGTATTTTTTTATTTCTAGCATTTTCATTTGATTCTGTGAGCTGGTTTTTATCTCTCTGATCTTCCATGTTGCCTACCTTTCCCTTAGATACTGGATGGTTTAGATATGGGTTTCCCCACCAACTCTTATATTAATTTTGATTCCCCCTGTGGTAGTATTGGGAGGTGATTTATTAAAGGGGATTAATGACCTCATGGTGTTACAGTTTGGCTCATAAATGTCCCCCTAAAGTTCCTGCGTTGAAGGTGTGGACTCCAGTGAAGATGGTACTGGGAGATGAGGGAACCTTCAGGACACCGCCGAGCAGAAGGAAATTAGGTGTGGAGAAGGACATTCTTTAGTTACTATTTTGTGTATTGCCTGAGGCCTGACCAAGCCATGATTGCTGGGTTCTGGAGGAAGTCTAGCATAAGCATTGTAAGCCCCAGGTCAATACTAGATGCTTTGCTGAGATGTGTGTGAAGGAAGATAACAGGATGGCTTACTGGTCACGTCGCATTCCTATGATAATTGAGCTGTACTGTCCTTGCTAAAACAGTTGAGATCCTCTGATTCCTCTGCTGCCTCCTGGGTTGATTCTGAATAAAAGGTTACTGAAGAGGGTAATCAGGAGTCAGTCAGTCCTAGAGGCTGCTAGCACCTGATCACAGGATTTTGGCTCTCTTAGTTTGATTTTTCCTTACTTTTCTTATACATCTGCGGGCACCTAGTTTGGGGGACCTGTTCACCCTGGACAGGGATGGATGAGAAGTCCGACAATTAGGCCCTTGCCTGAGTGGCCACACACACCCTTCTCTCTCTCTCTGTCGTCTCTCTCTCTCTGCTATTCAGATTGCCACAGGATAAAAGGTTTCTTCTGCCAAACATGTCCACCTCACCATGGGCCTAAACCCATACACAAACTTGGAAATATAAGCCAAAATGAATCTTTCCTCCCTTTGTTTATCCCAAGTATTTGTCTCAGCAAAAATGAGCTCACGCACACACACGGGAATGACCTCTCACTCTCATGGGCCTGGATTAGTTATGATGAGAGTGGGTTTTGATAAAGCAAGGCTGCCTCTCCTGCTTACCTCTTTGGCTTGCATGTCCTGGCCCTTCTGTTCTCCACACTGAGTGGAGGCAGCATGGAGCTTTTGCCAGTGCCAGACCCTTGGACTCCCCAGGCCTCAGAAGCAAGAGCAAAAATTAACCTCTTGTGTTTATAGCTAACCAGTCTAAGGCATCCTTTATAGCAACAGTAAATATAATGACAGACACATTAGCATATTAATAATTGTTCTTTTAATTTCTTGGGCAATTGTTCCAACATCTATGTCATATCTAAGCCTGGTTCTGAGGATGGCCTTCTTAAAAACAAAAGTTCAGCAAATCCAGTTTTAAAGATCTAGTTGGTTTTTATTAGATTTTAATGAATTAGGCGGCACTCCATTCATAAAACAGGGAGGCGTCGGTGAGCTGAGCAGGGACAGTGGCTTTGGGGCAGCACAGGGCTGAAGAAGTAGAAACAGGAGAGAAAAGGTGGAGTGGTGATTTCAGAGTTGCTTTCCTTACAAGATCAAAAAGGGTGGATTTCCTTACTATGTCAGCTCAGGGAAACGGGACCCTTTTCACCGGTTGTTATGAATCTCCTTGTAAAACAGGTCTGTTTTAAAGTTCAGTTTGATATGTGGCATCTACATGAATGGCTCCATTTGGATTTGGTCTGGTCTTGGGCCTAGTGCAGGACTCGGTCCAAAACAAGAGCCCCTGATAAATTGTATTTAATGATAAAATTGATTTGAATTATTCTGAAACACTATGTTGTTGAAAGATATGTTCAACTCTAGATTCTGTCCTGTGCTCTTCTGCTGCATTTACTTCAAAACTGTGAGTACCTACATTTTTCACATTTGTGGGAAATTATTGTACTGCAGGACATCAGCCCAAAATATTTAGTGAATCAAAACTGTAACCCAATGCCACAAAGCAGACAAGAAAAAATTAAGTATATGAAGCTAAGAGGAAAGGTCTTTGTTTTGATCCAGTAAAAAGTCAGTACATTAAAATAAGCAGCCATTTACTCAGAATAAGAGGAGCAATAATCCCTGTTCTCCTTGCTCCTCTGAGTCTTTTTCCTTTGTCATGTCTAGGTCTCAAAATTATTGCCTTGTCTCCTGAAGAAAGAAAGCACTTCCTCAGCAAGCACAACTGTAATACCCATGAGCAGGCGCCGGAAGACCACTTTGACAGCTTCAGGCAGTCCAGGTGTTGTTGCCAAAGACCTGGACACTCAGTGACCCAGAGTTGGTTTCTTCACCTTCACCAACCCAGAGCAGACCCCAGGTACCGTGCGTGAGAGCCATGAATGCAGAGTCCCTGGCTGATTGCCAGGTCCATGTGGACGGTGCTGGCAAGTCCCCCTGGGGCACCAGAGGTCTGGGCTTTGGGGCTTCGTTGGCATGGCCACAGCTAGTCCAATGGTGGTGGGGACCAGGCTACAGGAGTGGCAGGTATGACAGTCGACCTGGAGAACACCAATATGGGTATGGACAATCCAGAGGCTACGGACATAGCCAGGCTGATTATGACCACTACTCCAGAGGGAATTACAGAGAGAGTTATGACAATTGAGAGGCATGTACACAGGATACACACAAGGATGACACTTCTGGTCCAGGGTCACCCTCCCTCTCACTGTGGTTTAAAGATTTTTGAAGCTACCCTGAAACTTCTCTTTTAGTACATCACCTACTTTTGAATTAAGCTCCCAAGGTATGGAAAGATCTCTTAGAAAGTCTTAGTTATTCTTTAATATTCTTACCTCCATTTACAGGCAAATTTCAGGGACATGTTTAGAGTCCAGGAACTTTTCCTTTCACAAAATTTTTAATTTGGGGTCTCAGGATCATTGCTTCTGGCAAAAAGAAAGTTTGGCAAGGCTGATTTTTTTAAGTCAACATGTGTGTAGGGTCATTTTTAAAAGGTGTATACAATTTTTATACTGACTAGGAAGTAATTTTTGAATGCACTTCTAAGCAGTCTACACCAAGAATATGATTGCCTAGAGCTCTCTTTCATTCAAGATCACCACCCTGATTATAAGAACTTCTTACAAATGTTGTGAATGCCATTTTTTAAAATACTGAAAAAAAATTCACATGTTCCTTGGGTAGTGTTAAGATGTCCTTCATGGAACTGACTGGAAAGATGAAAGCTGAAGGAAAAAAAAAGCAGAGAACAATAACCAGGTGACATAGCAGAAACTTTTATCACACGCCAGTTGTTGGAGGAGGGAAAGGGCTGCCTTGGCTGAAGGAAGTGATTGCAAGATCAGAGCAGAACCAAATATGGGATGTGGCTTGGGGTGAAAAAAAGTGGTTCACAGCAGCTGTGTTTAAATTAGACCATGAAGCAGTTTCCTCTCCAGCCAGTGGGCGGGAGCGCTTGTCACTTGTCTCTGGCAGACTAAGGCACTAAAGATGCTCCAGAAAAACTTCATTCATAAGAGCAACAAATACATGAAATGTCAAAACAGAAAATTCTACCAGCCATGTGAGAAATTTACCTAAGGACAGAAGTTTAATATAGAAAGAAATACATCATGTTCTGGAACAGACAATTGGGTCATTTTCCCAAGCACAATATATAGATGTTGTAAAACTTTAACCCAATATTAATAACAGAATTTTTAATAAAATTCCTCAAGAACAAGTGTACAGAAATATATATATATATATATATATATATATATATAAAATTGAGGAATTTGCTCTAATTAATCTTTACAAATGATACAAAGCTAAACAATTAAATCATGTCTATACTGCTACAAAAGAGGACAACTGTGATGTAACACTGGCTGCACAAAGCACACTGGGAAATGTATTTACTGTATTTCCAGGAAAGTGCTTCACCTTTAAGACTATCTGGGCATGGGAGAGAGACTCTTATTTCTCAGAAGCTTCATGTTACAGGTTATACGGCCCTCTGCTTCTGCTCCGTGCACAGACAGGCACAACTACTGTCCTGCGTCATCTGGACTGTGGAGGAAAGGGCAGATCCACGGGGAAGTGGCCAGGGGGGTGGGAGGAGCCGGGAGGCCAGGGTCTCTGCGTGGTCGCTGAGGCACTCGTCAGCGGAATGGTGGTGAGGAAACTGGTGCGTGAAGATGTTCTAGAGTCAGATTTTTAGAGGAAGTAGATATTTTTAAAGAATTTCAAATCATGTTTCTTGGCGTTTGAAACATATTCCAATTCAGTATTTCTGAGGAAACCGAAGTAAAGGTTGCAATTGTTTTAAATTATGTCCTGACCATTTTATTCTTGTATTTCTTTAAAAATGCCACACAGGAACGACCTATCTTCCTAGCTAGGAAAGTTATTCTGCCTTCATTTGATAAATTAAGAATTAAATGCATGATAAAAGTAAAATTGCAATTCAGCAGAATAAGGAGATTTTTAACTAAAAATGCTGTTCAGTAAATTGATTAGTTATTTGGAAATAAGGAGCACTCATATATAAACACAGAGAGATGATATTGATGGAGATTAAGTTTAAATGTGAATAGAGAATGAACTGAAAATATACAGAGTGAATATTTTATTAGAAATGGTGAGATAATTTTAAATAAAACAAAAAATACCAAGTTGGATTTTATTTTAAAATCATCATAAATAAAATCATAAGTTTTACAAAAAATTACAAACTACTGTGTGAAAAGTGTATTAATAGCAAGCAGTCTAGTTACATAAAAGGTGCCTGTCATGGCACGTGCAAAATTTAAATGAGCAAGGATATTACAGTAAATTTTAACAGCAATCCTAACATGAATAAGAACTTAGCAGTTCATAACAACACCCACTTACTGTCTTTTAGGTCAGTGTCTCTGCAGGGCTCAATCGGGCCTGCTGCTCCAGGTCTCACAAGACTGAAGTCTCAAGCAACCAGTGCAGTTCTCATCTGAGGTCAGGATCTTCTCCCAAGCTCACTGGCTGTTGACAGAACTCATTTCTCTGTGTGGCTAATTTGCCAGCCAGCGGTCCCTGCCAGCTCCTGGGGCCTGCCCTTCACGCCTAGATCCTGTCAGGTCTTTGCCATTTTTCTCACTTCATCCTCAAAGTCAGCCACAGGCAATCACTCTCAGGTTGAATCTCCAGGAAGAGTTCAGTCCCTGGTAAGACCTCACTGCAAGTTCACACTCACCCAGAATAACACCACTCTTATCATTAACTGTGGTCAACCCATAAGGCAAGCACAGCAGGGATTATCCCATCATATATGCAGGTTCCACCGCACAGAAAGGAAAGGGATTTTGTCAGGTGCTTACATCGGCAGGCAGTGTTTGTGGAGACCATCTCAGAGTTCCACTTGCCATACCCAGCCCTCTGCCCATCAGTAATCCAAGTCCTTCCCAAATGTGAAACACAGTAACCCTATTCTGGGTCCCCAAAGTCTCAGCCCCACTATCCCTTCTAAACCGCATTAGCTCGAAGCCCAAATTCTCCTTACCCTCAGACCAACAGTCTGCATACCAAACTTTATTAGAAAATAAGCATGTTCTTTTATTTATATATAGGAAGCACGGGGATCTAACATTTACAGTCACTTAAGTGGCAGGACTGAGTGCTGACCAGTGTTTCTACTAACTGCGCTGACAGGACATTAGAAAGCACCTGTAAGAGACTATCTAATCATATCTGAAGAACCCTCTCCTTACCATCAGAGAAATAGAGATGAAGCTATTATTGTCCGCATCTGCATTCTGCTTATCTAGATTTTGTATTCTTTCACAGTACTGTATAGTACTAATTTCATTCAAATCTCCTCAACCTTTCTTTAAAAAAGAGGAACCAAACATTAGCTCGCAGAAAGCTGTAACAAGTCTATATTTGGCTCTCTTTCTTGCAGGGAACACTTTTAGTTTCTTTCCCACTACGAGCTGATTTCCTGACCTCCAGACACGGAATTCAAGACTTCAGCCCCACTCCCCATAGGCATTTGCATCTGGTTGGAGTGGACTTTTCTAATTCAGGTCATAATTTTCCTGACTTTTTGTTTGCTGTTGAGAACAATATTTTCCTGCAGACTGAAAATTGTACCAATTATATTAAGACTTAGGACCAGGCAGGCATCCTGTTTGAACCTAGTGTGTGTCCGGGCCTACTTTTCTGGGCTATGATATCAAAAGCAGCTTAGTTTTCACAGCCATTGCATTGCCACTCTAATCTGCTTCATTTACTTTTCAGCACTGGGGCTCCCATTCATTCCCACCTGGTGTCATCCGTGAGAAGATAGAAAACTTGCTTTGGCCAAGTGCAGCTGTTGGGTGGATGTTGAGATCAGTCAGCCCGGAGGAAAGAGAACGTGAGCTTGGTCTGCTCTCCCGGCCACCCAGAGCTGCAGGACTTCTTCCTTACTCCTTGCTGGTGCCGCAGGGAGACAGAAGCACCTGCCTGGAATGTCTCCTGATGCTGGGGATAAATGTGCCTGCGTCACAGTCTTCCTCTAGGTGACAGAAGACATGGGCCTGAGTGTAGCTTTGTGGGAGACGGGGAGCAGGGCTCCATAACTGCAATAGGGATGGCACGTTCCCACCTGCAGCTCCTTTATTCTCTCCTCCTCTTTCATTTTATCTATCAGTGTTATATCTTTGGAATAGAGGGGTTTATCAGATGTTAAAGTTCCAGACTCATTTTGATCAGAAATTCTCTATATTCATCCCCATATAATTTGTTCCAGGAGTGAGGATTTGTCTTTTATTGTGATATTATTTCCATTAGGGTTTTTTCCCCTTATGGGATTCCTGTGTGCCCTTGGTTACAAAAATATACAGGCCAGCAGCTCTCTTTGTTGTTTAAAAGTCCCCAGGTATTTCATGGTCCTAGACCAGTTATTAAGTCAATTTCTTACTTTGGTATCATTGAAGGAGTAGGAAGCCAAGTTCTTATAATGTCCTTTCCTTAACAGGACAAATATTTTCATTACTGAGTAAGACAGAGTGAAACCACAGAAATGTTTAAAACTTTGCTTACATATCTATGATGTGAGGAATTTCTCTGAATTAGATAAGAGTTTTCAAATATTGGAAGAATATTTTCATGTATTTTGTACTATTCACAATGTAGTCCCTTTTACATTTAATTTATAAACTTCAGACAGTGAGTCTACCACCCATTTTGTGAATAAAACTTTTAGAACACAGGTATGTTCTATTTACATATTGTACATGGCAGCTGTCGTTCAACAATAGCAGAAATAAATAGTTGTGACAGACCGCACAGCATATTTCAGTGTTGCCTCAGAGGAAAAAACTGATCAACTTCTGATGTAAGAATAAAATTATGAGTCAAGTTCTGATTCACAGCATTTGCTGGCTTCCACTGTGTAAATACTTGCACAACGGCCTATGTCAAGTTACCAACATGATGTCACTGAATGTAGAACTGGGAGGAGATGTACAGCAGCTCACACTCATACAGCCCTTCCAACATTCACCTTCCATAGATTTAAGTAATGACAAAGGCATCTGTAACAGTACTATGAAAAAAATTAGGAAGTGATGAGGTTTTGTACTTTTTTGTTTTTAATACTGTCAGTTTAATATTTACAATAATGGCTTTGTTTAATAGATGATTTGCAGAATTTATGAAACAACTGACTCTTGCAGGCTTGTGTGCCCTGCCGGTAATGCATCGCAGCAGATGCACATGAAATCACCCCAGCTTCTAGTGTGCTGTGTCCTCCTCCAACACCACATGAGACACTAAGTTCCAGCCTCCACTCACAGCTATACTTGGGATTTCCCTCTTTGTTTCTCTGTCATTAGAGCTTCACTCTTGAATCTTTAGCTTGTTGTGTGGTTTTATTGTGCTGCTTGTCCCACATTTGTATGAGTTGTGATTGAAAAATAAGGTGAACATCTATATTTTTGAAATTTATTACAATAAAAGATGCATTGCCATCAATGTCCCTCAAAATTGTCCCCTTTGATTTGAACACACTTATACCATGACTATTGCTACTTCCCATAGCACTTCTGAAGTCCTCTTTCATGAGTGTCTAGATTTGTTATTGTGGCAGTTTCAATGTCCCAAACCAATTAAGACCATTTACCTTTCATGGTCATTTTGACTCTGTGGAAGAATCAGAAGTTTGCAAGGTGCCAAATCTGGTAAATAAGGCACCTGGGGACACACCAGAAGGTTTTGCTTTGACAAACATTGTTGTAGACATTTTGAAACTATGCAGAACATCAAGGCAGCCATGACGGCACAACCAAAGTCACCCACAAAAGGGAAGTGCCAGAATGGCTTCACAAAGTGGCAATAATGGTAGGATAAGTGTGCTCAAAGGGAAGGAGTATTTTGCGGGATATTGATGGCAGTGTGTCCTTTACTGTATTGAATTTTTTAAGCATTCATTGTATATTTTGATCACACTCTGTGTTTACTTTAGACAGCCGTACTGCCCAAGAGATCTCATAGCACAGCACTGAGGGGCAGCCTGATTTCTTGCACGTTTATCCCTCAGTCCTCACTTTGAAAATTAATGTTTTATCTTTATTCCTAGTGTCTCTCACTAACACTACAGATAGAAGTTACTGATGCTTCCTGTCCAATCCTCAGGACTCATGGCAGACATGAGGATTTCCTTGTCTTCTAACAAGGAAGGGACCACTGCTCAGATTTGCACACTGACGACATGTGGGACAACGTGGGAGGAAGAAAGCCGTGTGAAGTTGGGTTTAAATGTGTGTCAGGTCCCTGGAGGCAAAAGATAGCAAAGCAAATTCGTTAACTTAAGGAGAGTTTGATTAAAGATCTAATTACAAACTACTTACCATCTCGCTGCTGGGTTCTTCTCTCAACCCAGAAAGAACCACAAGGTAGGATTCAACATATGACTACATCAAAGAGTTTATTGTAGAGAGAAAGCAGAAATCAGCATTTAAAATGAAAGCAAACAGCCTTAAGGCAAATGAGCCTGTGACAGGCTGGAATAGGTTGCCCAAGGAACTCTGTGTAGGGGTCTTTATACACAAAAATGCTTACATCTCAGCCAAGTTGAGATCAACCTTCAGGTTAAAAGCAGGAAAGCTTGCCTTACAAGTGGGCCTATAGGAATTCAGGGTAGGGAGTAGGTGCACTTTTGTAAACACCATTAATTGAAAACAAAACAAAGGCATGTGTGTGTGTGTGTGTGTGTGTGAGAGAGAGAGAGAGAGAGAGAGAGAGAGAGAGAGAGAGAGAGAGGGTCTCACTTTGTAGTTCAGGCTGGCCCTGGCTCTGAACTCACTATGTTGCCCAAGCTGGCCCCAAACTTGTGGTGATCCTCCTGCCTCAACCTCCCAAGTCCTGGGATTACAGGCGTGTGCCACCATGCCTGGCCACAGATGTTCTTTAGAGGGATATGAATATCTTATTCTTGGCAAGAAAATCTCACCAACCCAATGAAGGCTTTGTTGCCTCTGGTGCCCTGGCCTTGGCCATCATCCTGCACTCTGCCTTCTCAATCCCTGTTTGGCCTGGCCTTTCCCTGGCTGCCTATAACTCTGTTTACCAGAACTCTTCCCATAGTTCTCTCCCCTCATGCTCCAGTGTTACTCTGAGAAATCTTCCCACCCTCCCACAGGGCCCTCCACATTTCCCTCAAAATGTTGTCCTCAACGTTTTCCACACACATCATGTTTTACTGATTGTTTAGATTGCTGTTGGGAGCCTCTTCTTAGGTTAGGAAGATGATACCCAAACCTTAGGAAACAGGACCTAAGCCCAGCCGTAGGGGCTGAAGGGCTCATGGTTCGTTCTCCCTGAGTCTCTTGCTATCTCCCTGCCTCACTATGATCCACAGAATGTGAATAAACCATAGGACAGAGAGTGAGTCTAGGCTGGTGAGAGCAGGTAACAGCAGCATTATCGCCACCTCAAGTCTTACAGATAAGGAGGGAAAGTGGTGAACGAGCCCTGGAGGTACAGAGTACTATATAAAGATGGTCACCTAATAACACATGTACCATTGTGGAGCAAAACCACCAGCCTTCATGACCTGCTGTGTTAGTCAGCTTTCCCTCACTGGAAATAGTACATGACACCTGCAATTTAAAGAAGGAGTGGTTCATTTTGGTTCAGGTTCCAGTGGGCTCAGTCCATGGTTTGCTGGCCCCATGGTAGAAGTAGCGTGATGGAAGGGCTTGGTGGAAGAAAGCTGCTCACCCCATGGCAGCCAGGAAGCAGAGAGACATGAGCAGAACAACCACACTCCCCTTCAGATCACACCCACAGTGACTCACCTCCAACCTGGCCCAACCCCTTCACAGCACACTCAGCTACTGAACTCATCCATGAAGTACTGAATGAATCCACTCATTAGCCTAGTAACCCTCCAATCAGCCTTTGAACACAGGATGTTTTGGGGGGATAGTTTAGATTTAAACTATACTACCTGCCTGGAGATAAGATGCAGAGGGAAATAACTGGGCCACTTCTCCCTCTTCCAACTCTCCTAATTATGTTCCTCGTTGCTCTAAGGAAATCAGACTCCAGGAGGTAACTCCATACAGATCTGCAGCTGGGAACACAGAGGATAATAAAGCAGGGTAGGGAATGAGTATAAGAAGTCAGCAGCAAACCAAAAAATTCTGGTAGAAGCATGGAGATGAGATTTGGTAACTGGGTAAAAGGGGGTCAGACTTGGGGTAAAAGTCTGAAGTCTAGGAACTCAGTCAATAGAGAGCTTTCTCCTTTCATACGTGCAAAAATAAGAATGAGTTGGGAAGAAGATTGTTCTGCACTGGATAGATTTCAGGACGGTTTATATTAAAATAAATGCTGTAGCTATTTGTAGAGTCAAATGTATACCAATTTCCTTATTCCCTTCTCTCTCTATCTCTTTCTCCCCTCCCATGCAAAAAAAAATGGATATATATATATTTTTTTTTGAATCTGTCACCCTGCCCATATATGAAAACTTGACAATAGCTTTACAACATACCTTAGTAGGTCAAGCTTTCTCATTGATGTTTAAAACCTCTCTTTTTTTGCCTGCTTGACCTATGAAATTTTGAGTTACATTAAAATATCCCACTACAAGTGTAGATTTATATATGACTTGGTTATGAATGTTGATTTTTATATATAAGGCTATCGTATTAGATGTACACGTATTTAAATTGTAATAATTTCCTTGATAAGGTTAATGTTTATCATTACATAATGGGTTTTCCCATTTCTACAGTACTTTTTTCCTTAAAATTTCTTATTATATTTTTTGTTTTACTTTTGATTAATGCATATGAGTTGTACATATTAATGGAGTGCAGTGTGGTACTTCAATACAGGCATGAAGTGTGTGCTGATCAAGTCCAGCCTCCCTACGCTCACTCTCCCACCTACTCCCAACCTCTAGTGACCACTGCTGTACATTCCAGTTAATTTTCTTAACTCCTACCTGTGAGGGAGAACACGCACCACTTGTCTGTGTCTGCTTTAGTTCACTTAATCTAGTGTCTTCCAGTCCCATCCATTTTGCTAGAACTGAGAGGATTTCATTCCTCTTTACGGTTGAATAATATTCTATTATGTGTATATATCACACTTCCTTTTTCCATTTGTCCATTTATGAGCACTTATGTTAATTCCATACATAAGCATAAAATTCACTAATTTATTTTTGACATTAACATGCTCATACCAGTTTTTGTTTAGTTAGCATTTATATGATATAGCATCTTTTTATTCAGCCTCTGAAATGTCTTTTATGTTCTAGGTATGTATCTATAGACTATAGTATGCTATTATGGCTGGAGGGCAATCTAATAGTCTGTCTCTGCTCACAAGCTTGTCCTAAGAGGAAAACCATGGATTTGGAAAGACAGCACTACCCAGTTTCAGAACATTCCAGAAATGACACAAGCATCTTATTTTTAAATATTGGGTGGGATGAAGGAAGAGAAGGAAGATTGGACCACCAGTCATTTAGTACTACAGGTACACAATTCCCCTGGGTTCCTTGAGAAAGTGAATTGGAGTTTGATTTTCTTTTCCTTTTCATTTTTTTTATTTTATGGAAAAAGGAGTAAATTAAATTTCATAACAAAATAATAGGAGAACAACAATAGTTAATACATTGAGTATTGTTATCTTTAATTAATCAGAGTATAAGATATGGGCTTAAAAAATTCTCCAAATGATATTAGCACAAACCTTTCTCTTCAATAACTAAGAGAATCTAGTAATATAACGATCTTGTATTTTGTTTTTTCTTTTCCCTCCCTTCCTTT